TACCAGCACAAATGGGAACCGAACTTTGTTATTCACAAAGAAACTATACTAAAATGTGTTCGCAATTAAAAGTTATTTTGTTATTGTTGGAATATAGGCTGATTTACACTATCAAAGTTTCTGAGATTTGATTTTGAATTAGAAGGATTTGTTAGAAATGTTTCAGGGAATTTTAGAAACGTTACGGACTAACGCCCGTATTCTAAAAGCTCACTCACACTCAGAGTGGACATTCAATCTGAGCTTCTCTCGAGTGTCAATGCTGTTTTTGAATCCCTGGAGGGTTAGTGTCGTACCTTACTACGTGACTACTAACCATCCAGCTATTCCGGATTCAACCTCCGCTCATTGAGTGTGAGTGAGCTTTTAGAATACGGGCGTTAGTGTTTATCACTGACCCAGTTTCGTCAAACATTTCTTACAAATGCTTCAAAAACTTAGAATTCAGCTATGCAAAATTCCTACTGTGATCACGGAAACTTTGATAGTGTAAAACCCGTCCTTATCGTTCTGTTATAGTTAACAAAACAATGACATTTTATCGCACTGTCCTTCAGCAGTAATAGTGTCAGTACTTGTTATATAATTAGAGAGGTTCAGATTTGACTTCCAATACCTGACTTACTACTGTACTACCTCTTCACTGGCGTAGTACACATTTGATTGGTTTATGGCTCCTTATAAAGGCAGTGGCAGTGCAAGTCATATCTGAAACTCTTTAAAAACTTTCCTAGAAATGTGGTGACATTTAAAAGTTATTTCGCTATAGTATAAAATATCGTTTTGTTATATAGTTGACAAAGCAGTGACATTTATTGCATTGTTGTACAGTAGTAACAGTACCTATAGGTATTATATTCTTAGGGAGGTTCACATTTGACTTCCAATACCACTACCTTCACTGGCTTAGACTTAATACACATCTGATTGGTTAGCAGTCATTAACGGTAGTGGTAATGGTAGTGAAAGTCGAATATGAACCTTTCTATAAATAGTCGACGAACTACAATAATCAAAATCAAGTGGCGACAATTAAAAAGTTATTTTGTTATATTTAAAACATGGTTGTGTTATTATAGTTGAAAAAAACAGTGGCCTCTGATTGCGTCTGGAGCCATCATGCATCTTTTATAATCGGGTAGTATAAAGAAGAATTATCAGATCAATAAGCTTTCCTGGTTCTGTGTCTTCGATATAAAGATGGCCACAAAACCTTTTTAAAAGATGATCTTGTGCCCATCTTTATACTGAAGATGCATAACCAGACGAACAACAAATCTACAAAATAATACCATGAAATTTTGTTGTATTAGCTATCAAAGAGCACACTCGATTCGGCCCATTTAACTTTTTCGTGGTATTACTTATAAATACATGTAGCAATCAGCTTGATCGAGATTGTTCTGCAAGTAAGGTTATGCAGTTGTAATGACAAAATTATCCAGCAAATATCCGGTACATACACTCATCATTGTTGTGTCCAGCTGTAAACAAAAACAGTTTTGTAAGAACTTTAGGCAAATATATTTCAGCCTATCCAACTACCCCCAAGATGTTTGAACAATTCTTCAAATGTTCGAATAATTCCATAAAAACTTCATAAAAATTGATTGGTCAATTCAAAAGGAACATATAGGAATTTGGCCCCATAACATATCTGTCACAGTTATGTGACAGATATCTGTCACAGTTATGTGACAGATATCTGTCACAGTTATATGACAGATATCTGTCACATATCTGTAACATATAGGAATTTGCTGTGTTGGTGTAATCACAGTTAATAAAAATGTACTCACGTGAGTAAGATGCTTGTGTGATGTTACTCTGAGTGTATATCCAACACAGCAAATATGATTATTAGATTACATTATGATTATTACATCTGATTATTACACCAACACAGCAAATATCATGATTATTAGATTACAGTAATATCGAAGGAACTAGACTCAGTTCCGAAATATCGCATACTCAAACCGACCTGACCGCGTAGCTCAGTTGGCAGAGCATTGGGCTAGTATTCCAAAGGTCGTAGGTTCGAATCCCACCGTGGCCAGGCATATTTTTCA